GCCCGAAGGTCCCACTAGTTGAAATGCTGGAGAGTCATGATGTTCAGCATTTTCATCTAGTTGCATTCTCATTTATTCTAGAGCCATAATTGACAATCCTGCCTCCCTATTAGTAAAGCACAACTACCCCTATTCATCTACTACAAGAATTCTGTACAGAGATAGTAAAACAATCCTCTTATTAGGGCCCAGCAAAATCAGAAAGTGATATGCAAGCTTTTGTGCTCACCAGTAAACTTGATGGTAGACAAAACTATGTGCTTGTTGGAAAGAGGTCTCCCTGATCTGCCAATAAGTTCTTCTAGGTTCAGAGTGCATCCCAGTTCCCAAACTTTCAGATCTATACAGAAACAGCTGTCCCCTCCTTGAGTCATAAATTGAACCAAGTAGAAAATTTCCAGTGAGTTGCTGTTTTTGAATAAACAGAACAATTGGTAAACATAAAATCAGATTACTGAACAGTGTAAAAAACCCCCTAAGAATAATTCTTAATGTGATTCTCAAAAGGCAGTGTAAAAACCCCCCTATGAATAATTCTTAATGTGATTCTCAAAAGGAAAAGAAAGTCTGACTAGATAAAACAAGAAATGTCAATTTAACTACAGAGTACTGATAGACCTAAACAGCATGATAAAAAGTAGAGACATCACCCTGCCAACAAAAGTCCGCATGGTCAAAGCAATGGTATTCCCAGTAGTCATGTATGGCTGCGAGAGTTGGACTATAAGGAAGGCCGAGCGCCGAAGAATAGATTCTTTTGAACTATGGTGCTGGAGGAGACTCTTGAGAGTCCCTTGGACTGCAAGAAGAACAAATCAGTCAATCCTCAAAGAAATCAACCCTGACTGTTCCCTGGAAGGCCAGATAATGAAACTGAAGCTCAAATACTTTGGCCACCAAATGAGAAGGGAGCACTCACTGGAGAAGACCCTGATGCTGGGAAAGATTGAAGGTCAAAGAAGACGAGGACGGCAGAGGATGAGATGGTTAGACAGTGTCATCGATGCAACGAACATGAAATTGAGCCAACTTCAGAGGACGGCAGAAGATAGGAGGGCCTGGCGGGAGATGATCCATGGGGTCGCGAAGAGTCGGACTCGACTGTGCGACTGAACAACAACAACTGATAGACCAAGGCTGCGGTCAGACACGCCTTTAGATCCAACTTAGCTGCGAATGCCTGTGGGATCTAAAGTGCACAATCAGACTGCAACATCTGGGAAAGGTCCTGCAGTCATTGGCAGCCCATCCTGCCCTGCCACAGAAACAGAGTTAAAAGATACCAGGGAAAGTCTGATCCTAACACTTGCCGATGGACCATGGATGGATTTTCCCTAGTCTGATCACTCAAGCGTTCACTCAGGCCATTGGAATGGACAGCTCAGTCCATCCTGACTTGCCACCATTTTTCCCTGCTTAGCGATATGTGCATAACCGCATAATCGGTCCATGGAGAACTCCATGTGGAACTCTTTGTGGGGGGGTTTGATTGCCCCGCAGAAAGGCAAAAAAGCCCCCACTCGCCCAAACGTGCCATCTATTGCGCAGTGACGGGCTGCGCCTGCACCAAAACAGATTATACTGGGATATGTGATCGAGCAACTCCATGCCAAATACCAGTGAATGAAACAGGAGTGCTTCCTGACCGCGCCAAATGGAACATCTGACCACAGCCCAAGTTAACCTAACCGTATCAAAAGAAAAAAAAATTACTCAGATGGATTAGAGCTTAATATGATTTCCTACCAACTTGTCAATTGTTATCAATCTGGCTAGGAGTTACCAGTGTACAGCTCATGTTGATTGGTTATTCTCTGGTACAGAAATGACTGCCTTACCATTTCCTGATCCCTTCTTCTAAGGAATAAAACTACAAATTAAGGGTTCAGAATACTAAATATGAGTTCACCTGATTTGTACACAAAGTTCCGTTAACTGCTTCAAGCTAGTGCTGTTGGTTTGGTGACACATCCAGCCAGGTGCAAGTGGAGGAGTGGGGAATCAAACCCGGTTCTCCCAGATTAGAGTCCATGCACGTAACCACTACACCAAACTGGCTTTTGCATGCAGCCCAGAGTCAGATTGTGCATAGGGAGGGAAGAGACAATTTTAACCTTTCAACCCTCCCTTGGTTTCACTGTCCAAAACTAGGCTCCTTGCACCTTTATTAGCATTTGCAAGGGGGAGAAATGTGCATCTTTTTTTTAAAGATGCTAACAGTGGCACAGAAAACCCAGTTGTGGTCAGCAAAATCAAATGGAGGCTGAAGGGCTAAATCCCCTCTTCCCAATGGGATTTGGAATTGCAACATGCACCGTTTAAATGTTTAACAGGTGGATGGAGATCTGTCATCTGTGTCACTTTTGTGTTGGCCCTCAAAACAGGTGGTCTTGGGCTACACAGGCCCGTGCCGCGATTCAGTCTAAGGCCGCTCCATGTGTCCCCTTGTGTTGAATTGTTCTCAAATGTCCACCACTGCAATGGCAGATAAAAACAAATATAGTCTCTTTAAATGCTGTAATAAATCCAGCAAGATAGCTGAGCGTTTTCATTTTCATTCCCTTTGCTGCTTTACAAGTAGCTTAGCTTATTCTTTGTGGAGGCCATTAAAATAATGGGAAACTTCAGCAGTGCATTTTTTTTTATTATTAAAGTACTTTGGTCCTGTGATGGTTTTTTCCCCTCTCAAGGGAAGTGGATTTCCTCACAAGAACTCACCAGCTGCCAAAAAAAAAGGCCAGGAAACAACTGACTAAACACTGCACATAAAATTAAGCAAAGAAATTAAGAAACAATACTCTAATTAAAAAGAACCAATGGGAAGTGCAAACATTGGGAAATTCAATTTAAAAATATTTGGCACCCTTCTGATACGGACAAACAGAGCATTTGCCAAACAGCAGTCTTCTCACCTGCCTTCATAAAGCATCCCACACTCGAAGCATTGTTTTTAATATTGGCAATCGACACAGAAACATTAAAACAGTCATCCATCGTGGCGTGTGTGTGTGTGTTTGTGGGAAGGAGCAGGTCTTTTTATTTCTTAATTTCTAACAAATTAAATTGAGATGAAGAATAAATCCAACCAGGCACTGTTTCCTTTGAATGCTTAAGGGACATTAGAACAGGACATTTACCACATATAACATGAAATCTACCACCAGAGACACCTCAAGTACCACATGGGTCAACTCTAGAAGATCCAGTGTAGTTCCAAACATCCCTCTGGAATTAATAGCACAGTGTAATGTGAATAATTCCAGGATAGGAAAAAAAATAAAAATAAAACAATGGATTGAGTCATTCCTTCCTCATGAAAGCCATCACATCTATTCATTTGATGTATATTCATTTTATCTAATATAGTTAATATATTCATTTTGCAAATGCATGATCTGTATGCTAAGAATATTTGTATACAACATGAGAATAAATCCAGGAGGCTGCATATGCTCAGCATTCACAAAAATGGTTGTCCTTAGCTTTTACTATCTTGGTACTTGTCTGGGAACATTTGTCCAAAATAACGACCAGTTGTCTGTTGTTTTGCACACACAGCATACCATAGAGCAAGGACATGCTGTGTACCACCTTCTGTCTCTACTAAGTCAGATCATTTACCCATCAAGCCTGATTTGGTGTACTCCAACTGGCAGGTGTGCTCCAGATTTGCAGTCAAGAGATGTCTTCCATCCGATTCCTATAATTCAACGTGCCTGGAGGCAAACCTGCAACCGTCTGCATGCACTCCACCACAAAGCTATGAGTCCTCTCCTATGATGCAATTTTCTGTGTTTAACATATTCATTTTATTATATGATAACTACAATTGCTGCATGAATAATGTAGCAAGCACATTTATCTCCTGTCCAGATACTGAAGATCAAAGGAGAAATGGAGGGGTGGAGAGAATGAGAAATGAACTTGTTTAGCATCCTGGTTAATTCTATCCTGATCCTGCTTCCTTAACGATTCAAAAGTTTTCTCCATAATCTGGTCTGGGTCCAACCTACCTGAGGGACTGCCTTTCCCCGTATGTCCCCCCGAGAGCACTACAGTCTGGGGCCCAAAATCTGCTAACTATTCCGGGCCCCAGAGATGTAAAGCTGGCTGCCACTAGGGCCAGGGCTTTTTTGGTGGCGGCCCCTACCTGGTGGAATGAGCTCCCGGGGGAGATCTGGGCCCTGCGGGATCTAATGCAGTTCCGCAGGACCTGCAAGACGGAGCTCTTCCACCAGGCTTTTGAGTAGGGGCCGCCGCCCCCCACTATATCACCATCGTGGTGGGCTGGAAGAGGCCCTGAGTATAAACATCTGAATACGGAAGCCATAGACTGTCCACCAGGAACTTTTTGGAATGGTTCCGTCATCTTTGGATTTTGGAGTCCTTGAAGAACACTGAGCACTTATCTGAATTAGGACTGGATTTTAAGACGTATAGTATGTTTTTAAACTATAAGTATATTATGTTTTATTGTAGCAAGGTTATCTTGCCTTTGTAAGCCGCCCTGAGCCCTACGGGGGTGGGCGGGGTATAAATCTGATAGATAAATAAATAAATAAATAATGCTTTGAATGCTTAAGGAGCATTAGAACAGGACATTGACCACGTATAACATGAATCTACCACTGGAGGCACCTCAAGTACCAGATGGGTCAACTCTAGAAGATCCAGTGTAGTTCCAAACATCCCTGTGGAGCTAATAGCAAAATGTAATGTGAATAATTCCAGGAAAGGAAAAAAAGAAAAAGAAAACAATGGATTGAGTCATTCTTTCCTCATGAAAGAATCTCTTCTTCTTCTTCTTCTTTTTCTTCTGTAGCATTGTTGCAAGTCCAAACAGGGAGAGATCTCATTGTGTTGAGTGTGCTCATTCAGAAAAAGCTGAAGAAATTACCTCTAAAGTGACCAACAGAGGAATGCAGAAATAACACAAGGAGCAAATGTGGTATAGGTAAACATGTTGTTGATGCCTATGCCTATTCCTGCTTCTTTTTCAGATCCCACCCGCTCACTTCCAAAGACCTAGTGCTTCTTTGATTCGTGCCCAGAAGGTGGATAATCTAAGGTGTGAAATCCAAGAGAAGCATGAGTCAGATTACCAGCAAGCTCTGGTATCCATCAAAGACCGTGTGAAAGAAATTGAAGGCCCTGACATCAAAGAGAGTCTGCAGGATCAGATCCGCCAGTGGTTCATTGAGTGCCGGTGAGAATATGACAAATGAACAAAAAAAACCTCAACATAGGAATCACAACACTCTTTAGATAATGCCTTTGTACCAAATACGCTCCTTTAATAGGGAAAGCGGTTTGAACAAAAGCATAGGCTTCAGATCACAGATTAGCTAAGGCGCCCTCACCCTTTTTGAGCCTGTGGGCATCTTTGGAGTTCTGACACAGGGTGGTGGAAGCAACCACAAAATGGCTGCCATGGGAAGTGGAGCCAAACCACAAAATGGCAGCCATTGGAGGTGGAGCACAGAGACACCCCCAGAGGAAGTTCAAGTGCAGAGAAGTTCAACTTCAAATATACACTGGGAAAGAGGAGTAAGAAAATAAAGCCAACACTGTGGTTGGAGCTGCTGCTGAAGCAACTTTATTTTAAACTCCGCAGCCAATCAGATCTCCAGGGGCCAATCAGAAGCCCCAACCACTTTCTGAAAACATTTGGAGGGCACCAGTCTAGGTATAGATTTACTTTTCCAGCAAGAAGTAGGGCAACAAAGCAGCCCTGTTTGAGTTCCCCCTCTCTAATGTCTACCACAATCTATATATTCTGATGTTATTAGACTATGTTTCTCCAGTCCTTCTCAGCATCTTCTGCTGGCATTATGACACTAGGGCATAAGAGAAGTCGTAGCTAACATGGGGATGGGACTCAGTCTGGTGTTGCTTTTTTCAGTTATTCTTTCAGCGTTTAGTTCCTCCCTTAAAGGTTTTGTGTGTTTTCTCAGTAAAGGTACTCTAATTCAGGAATGCACAAACATCATAATATAGAACCAGCCTAAGTATATGGCAATCCATTGTGTAGTATAAAGCCAACGTTGGATGGTACACCATGGTGTGGTTTCTTTTCTCTCCAGCACGGGAACAAGAAGGGAGTAGAGGCATACTTTCATGTTCTACGGGAAACCAAAGATCCCCAGTTCTGCCTCTTTATTTCATTCATTCATACATACATACAGGGGTCATTTCCTGCAGGAGCGCACAGGAGCAGAGCTCCGGTAATAAGGAGCCCAGGGGGTGGGCACATGCAACAAGCCCTGCCTCCTACTCCCAGCAGCCCTCAGTCAGGCCACGAGGAGCAAGAAGCAGCCAAGTAAGTTGCAGAGCTCCCCCCCCCGGGCTCACCTTCAGGTACAAGCTCTCCCTCCTCTGTGAGCGCAGATCTGTGCGTTCCCCTCCCCCTCATAGCTGGCAATCCAAAACAGTCCAGTGGCACCTTTAAGACCTAGTTTTATTCAGGTAGAAGCTCTCCGTCCTCTGTGAGGGCAGATCTGCGCGTCCCCCCCCCCCAATAGTTAGCAATCCAAAACAGTCCAGTGGAGCCTGAGCGGTGGGTGTTGCCTTCTGACACACTTCCGGGGATGTCAGGGGGTGTGCCATATGCAAATAAGTTATGCTAATGAGTTATGCTAATGAGCTCCTGCACCTCTTTTTTTACGAAATGACCCCTGCATGCATACATACATACATACACATTCAGCTTATATACCACTTCTTCCCGAGGGCTCGGAGCGGTTTAAATCACCTAACTAGGGCCACAGTGCAAGGGGAGGGGTGAGTGCCTACCAGGCACCTAAGCAGCCGTGATCTTCCTTATGTTGTTCTTTTTCCATGGTGAGTTGTTTCTGTGTAATGTCCTGTCATGTCACTTCCGTTTTATGGTGACCCTATGTGTTAATGACCTTCAAAATGTCCTACCATTAACAGCTTTGCTCAGGTCTTGCAAACTGAAGGCCTTGGCTTCCTTTATGGAGTCAATCCGTCTCATGTTGGGTCTTCCTGTTTTTCTACCACCTTCAACTTTCCTAGCATGATTGTCTTTTCCAGTGCATCCTGTCTTCTCTTGCTGTGACCAAAGTATGATAGCCTCAGTTTAGTCATTTTAGCTTGTAGGGGGAATCCAGGCTTAATTTGACCCAGAACCCACTCATTTTTATTTTTATTTTTCGTTTTTTGGTGGTTCGTGATACCCGTAAAACTCTCCTCCAACACCACATTTCAAATGAATCAGTTTTCTTCCTATCAGCTTTCTTTGCTTTCTACGGCTATTTCTTCACATCATTTCTAGCCTGTGTTCCTCACGAATATGCAAGCCAGATTACAGCTAAACACAATGCAGTAAGAACATTATATTTACAACCGACAAATTAGAGAACAACACGCTAAAACACAGTTAATACAAAACATAAAGCAGGATTACGAGTTTGGAGAACAATGCAGTGAAACAGTATATTGCGTACAGTAAACAGTGTAATAAAGCTGAATTACAAAACGAGAGAAGAATGCAATAAGAACTTCACGATATGTACAACAGAGGCCTGCCTTGAATTCCTCAGACATTAACTACAACCTACTCATTTTATAAAACTTTCCTCCAGAACAATTCCATTTTACACTTTGTGGAATGATAGAACGGGGTCAGGAAAACCATTGCGCCAGATGGGAGCCACAGCAGAAGATACCATGGTACAAGGAACTGTTGCTCTTAACAATGTACAGGGTGACACGTTCAGAGTACTTGGCTTGAATGAGCAGAGCGGAGCATATTCACGTCCTAGGCCACAGTGGGTTTTGTAGGTGATAACTCGTAACTTGAATTGAACCCGGAAACTAACATACTCCACCTAGCTCCCATTAGAAATCCCTGTTTGGTGTCGTGGTGAAGTGCGCGGACTCTGATCTGGGAGAACCGGGTTTGATTCCCCCTCCTCTACTTGGGTGGTTCGTGATACCCGTAAAACTCTCCTCCAACACCACATTTCAAATGAATCAGTTTTCTTCCTATCAGCTTTCTTTGCTTTCTACGACTATTTCTTCACATCATTTCTAGTCTGCGTTCCTCACGAATATGCAAGCCAGATTACAGCTAAACACAATGCAGTAAGAACATTATATTTACAACCGACAAATTAGAGAACAACACGCTAAAACACAGTTAATACAAAACATAAAGCAGGATTACGAGATTGGAGAACAATGCCGTGAAACAGTATATTGCGTACAGTAAACAGTGTAATAAAGCTGAATTACAAAACGAGAGAAGAATGCAATAAGAACTTCACGATATGTACAACAGAGGCCTGCCTTGAATTCCTCAGACATTAACTACAACCTACTCATTTTATAAAACTTTCCTCCAGAACAATTCCGTTTTACACTTTGTGGGATGATAGAACGGGGTCAGGAAAACCATTGCGCCAGATGGGAGCCACAGCAGAAGATACCATGGTACAAGAAACTGTTGCTCTTAACAATGTACAGGGTGACACGTTCAGAGTACTTGGCTTGAATGAGCAGAGCGGAGCATATTCATGTCCTAGGCCACAGTGGGTTTTGTAGGTGATAACCCGTAACTTGAATTGAACCCGGAAACTAACATACTCCACCTAGCTCCCATTAGAAATCCCTGTTTGGTGTAGTGGTTAAGTGCGCGGACTCTGATCTGGGAGAACCGGGTTTGATTCCCCCTCCTCTACTTGCAGCAGCTGGATGACCTTGGTCAAGCCATAGTTCTGACAAGAGCTGTCCTTGAAAGAGCAGTTCTTGAAAGAGCTCTCTCTGCCCCACCTGCCTTATGGGATGTCTGTTGTGGGGAGGGGAAGGGAAAGGAGTTTGTAAGCCGCTCTGAGACTCCGAGCAAAGGGCAGGGTGTAAATCCAATCTCTTCTTCTTCTGTGGCTTTCTGTCCCCGTCCGCAGTTTCCAAGTGGTCCTTAAGGGCAGACCTTCTTCTCTTGAAATTTTCCCATGCATTTGTTACAGGAGGAGGGAGAGAATGTGCCATAAAGGGTCGGTTTTAATTGTCTGCATTGTTTGTATCTTTTTTTAAAAACACTTTTTATCAGTTTGTTAATATGTTGTCCTCTTTGGCACATGGGGAAAAGTAGGACTTGTCAATTAGCAACATGGTGCAAAAAAGAAGCCTGATATGCGGAACCTGATACTGTTTTCTCCCATAGCTCCAAAACAAGTGCAATTAAAAGATGATGTATTTCTGAATAGGTGAGAAACCAATGTCTCAGGCTGGTTTTCCTGGCTGCCACACGGGAACCTGCTTCTTCAAGCGTATCAGGATGTCCAATTCAGATCATGATTGTGGCATTGTGGGAGCTGCCCTCCTCCACTCTGTTTTTCTGAGCTGAAACAACCGGTGTGTGTGTGTGGGGGGGGCATTACTTGCCTCATTGCAGGGCTGCCGGCACACTGAATACCAAACTCAACCCAAGGCCAAACATCGTTTGGCCCTAAGTGGTGCATAATAAGAATGCAGGGCAGAGGGATTTTTTTAAAAAAACCTCAGCTCTGTTACGTATTTATTTAGTAAACTTTGGTGCCACCTCTTTGGAGACCCGCTGGAGGCCGCCCACAAAGAAAAATAAGTCATGAAACCGTTGAAATTAACGAAGAATTTGAAGCCCAGCAAGAGCACGGAAGCATGTGGCAGCCTAAAACGATTCTCATAAAACGGGTTTTCAGACCAAAAGCAAACTGAAAACAATGTCAAAGCCTGGGTAAAAGTGATATATATTTTTTTAACCCGGGACCTAAAAGAGAACAGGGTAGACATTCAGCAGGTGTGGGGCCACCATTGCAGAAAGCCCCGTCTCTGCTTTGCAGCAGGGCTTGTAAGGAGAGCTGGGTGGTCCCACCCTAGTCCTCTGGTAAAGATGGTAACGTTGGTGACTGCTGATGACTGGGTGCGATCCCAGCATTTGGCTGTGTGTGGGAGCATTATGCTAAATCCTCCTAGCCAGAGGATGGGGCAGTGGTGGCGAACCTATGGCACGGGTGCCAGAGGTGGCACTCACAGCCCTCTCTGCGGGCACGCGTGCCATTGCCCCAGCCAGGCCCAGGCCATCATAAAAGTGTCGAATTCTCTGCCAAATAATTTTAAGTAAGTGAAAGCATTTGGGATTGCTTTCCTTACTTTGCTTGGATCATCTTACGTTAATGTATGAGTTGTTTTTTTCTAAAAGTAAAA